AGGCCAGACAGTCCCGCTTCTCCCGTAGGAGTCTGGGTCCCTAGAGACTCGCCCAGAACTGGAGCTCAGAGCCTGAGACTCCCTCCCGATTGAAAACGACAACCACACCCTCAGCTGCCAGCCCGCACCGCATGTACTCTGCGCCTCAGTAATTTACTTCAGCACTGCGCCTCCTCTGAGTCTCGGTATGTTTTTCTTTTTCCTCCTAGTTGTAGAACTTCAACTCAGCCAGCCTTCCTGTGGTTCTGGATGATGTCCGTTCCGTCTTTTAGTTGTGTTTTTGAAGTGGTTGTTCGAGGCCGTGACCTCTTGTTTCATGGATCAATGCTCAACCGCTCAGCCACCCTGGGAGGGCTGTATTCTTTTTAAAAAATTGATTTTAGGGATAGGAAGGAGAGGAGAGGAGAGGAGAGAATAGGAGAGGAGAGGAGAGGAGAGGAGGGGGGGGGAGAGGAGATGAGAGGATAGGAGAGGAGAGGAGAGGAGAGGAGAGGAGGGAAGAGAAGGGAAGGGAAGAGAAGAGAAGAGAAGAGAAGAGAAGAGACTGGTATATGACGACATTCCAGACAACTGAGTCACACTGGTTAGGACCTAGTGCAGTGATGGCGAACCTATGACGCTTGGCGTGTCAGCATTTTGAAAAACCCTAACTTAACTCTGGTGTTGTGTCACATATAGAAATTTTTTGATATTTGCAGCCATAGTAAAACAAAGACTTATATTTTTGATATTTATTTTATATATTTAAATGCCATTTAAGAGACATATGTAATACTCTTTGTAATACTTTAAGCAATAAAACAAATTTTTAAAAAAATTTCTATATGTGACACGGCACCAGAGTTAAGTTAGGGTTTTTCAAAATACTGACACGCTGAGCTCAAAAGGTTCGCCATCACTAGCCTAGTGAGTGCATTATTTTCCATACCTATTAGAATGCAGATCAGAAAGTTTACATTCACATGGTATGGCCATGAGTACATGTGATGAATGCTGTAATGTGTCACCCAGATCTCCCTATAGCAATGAAGATGTTATTCCTCCAGCTGCTGGGAGCACATTTAGAATATGGTCTCAGATGTCAGCTGTCTTTAGGGATTGCCTTGGCTAAAGAAAACTGCCTGACCCAAGATCATGCCTCCTTGAAAGGTAAGCCCACATATAATGAGTAATTAATGCAGTGGTGTCAAGGCCCAGTCCTGCCTCTTAACCAAATTTGGGACAACCAGCCATTCTAGTTTGAGAGACTACCATGGGGTTGGCTGAGTCCCTTTGTTGGGACTGCATCATAGCTTCATTTCTCCCTCTGCCCAATGCTGTTTCGTCCACCTTCTTTTCACAGGTGTTGTTCCCAAGGGCATTCTCTAATAAATACCTGGAACACTAATCTCAATCTCAGAGTCTGTTTTCTGGGGAACCCAGACTCTGTGACAGTTGGTGACAGGAGTGGTCTGAGGAAGCAGATATTATGGGATTTTGGACCTGGATCACCACTGCCTGGCTGGACTCCATTGAAGTGGTAGGTAGATATTCCCTGACACACGGTAGAGGTGCAGTTAAAACTTTTCATTGGTGGAAGGGAATATATCAGCTATTGGTTGTACCAGACATTTGAGAAATATAGGGAGAATAGTAATCTTTATAAAAATGGAATTTTGTGGTTATTCATAAGTTTGACATTTTGGAAAAAGATAACAAAAAGCTGAAAGTGATTAGTTGGCAATTTAAAGTTAAGTGTCAAATCCATCGAACCTTCTTGGTAGCATATAAAGAGGCTCTCTCCTCCTGCAGCAGGATGATAGAGAACGCAAAGGACCAGTCGCAGGACTTATGAGTAGTCAGTCTCTAAATGTGATTAAAATCCCAACTAAGGTAGGTCTGCTATGCCATGGTCAGGGCTCTGGTTAGGAAAGAATGATTATCTGACATACGAGAGAGACTTCTGGACCTTGAAAACGAATTCCCAGCTTCTTATGAACCCTCTGAGCATGTAGAAGTGGCCCACTTGTTGCTATTAAGAGCCAGCGTGCTCCATTAGCTTGAACACAATACAGAGGCCCTCTCCTTTGCAAGGCATGTGTTTACCCCCTCAGGACTTGCCCCACCTCCCTGCATTGCTCTTCCTGGACAGTAGGCTATTTAGTGTTACATCTCAATGTAACCCAACTGGGGGTGTGTTCTGCTTGCTAAGATAGGAAAGGTAAAATACCTGGATAAAACTGAAGCATCTAGTCAAAATGGGGCTTTGGATGGAGCTCTGACCGCTTCACTACTATCTCAGCTCCTGAGGAACATTGGATAGTAAATCTCAGGAGCTGGGATAGTAGGTATAGGCAAAGATTTTGCTGAACCAAGGGAGGTAGAACACAAATTTGGATAAAAGATAGTTTATAAATATAGGACTCTTTCCTGGAGTCCAGGATTTAACATCCTGGAAAGGACCCTGGAAGATGGTAAAAACACACTCCTAGGATGGATCCTAGAAGCATGGAAAGCATGTTGGCTGACACTAAGTTGGGTAGAAATGCCTGAATTGTCCTGACAGACAGTGATGAGAAAGCTCAGAGTGGAGCCTGCTGAGTGAATGTGTTATGTGAGGTCAGAATATCCACTGAAGGATTATGTTCCACAGGAGGGCTCAGGGAACCTACTGTTCCCCAAGGCCATGAGGCATGTGCAGATGAGAGAGCATCGGCATCATTAAGAAGTTCATGTACAGGCCAGGGTGGACAGTAGGAGAGGCAATAACAGAGCTGGGCTCATTAACTAGCAATGGAGATGATGGGAAAACCAAAGTAATAGAGGCCAGGTGGTTATGCTCAACTGCCAGAACTAGGTGGATACAATAATCATAGTATGGAGCTAGGTCAGAGAGGCAGCCAAGCGGGCCTGACCCAGTGGGAATTGTGGAGGTGGTTAATAAAATATAATATCTCTCAGTGGCAAAATAGATGGAGATAAGGGTACTGGTCAATCTGCAAATCAAAAACCATCAGGCTTGAATGATGAGGAGGCTGAGGGCAGTTGCTCCAGTACAAAGCCATTACCTCCTGCTGAGTTTCTGGACATGAGCTAGTTTTCAGACCTGGAGCCCATGGACTACATGGGGTCTAAGTCCCCTGGAAGAGGGACCCTGCAATACCACTGCAAGTATATGTAGTAATGATTACTTCAGTTCTTTCCCCCGGTCATTTTATTAGGTAAGTGTGCACTGGAAGAAGGGAACTTAAACATTTTGAGAACTGTTGGACTGATGGGCATGGGGGTACAAAAGGTCTTTTCCTCAAGGTGGGGAGGGGAATACTCAGTAGTGTACTTTATATGCCAGAGAATTTCTGTGGGATCAGACTGAGGTTGGTCTCCATTTAAGACCAAATTATTCCCTAGCTTTCTTCTCTGGCCCTATCTTGCTTGCCTTCCTCCCTTCTCCTGAGAGCACCTCCCCAATAAATCTTGTGCACAAGAATCCTTGTCTTAGATCCTGCTTCTAGCAACCCAAGCCAAGATCACCTGTGTCTATTCATACACAAAACATTCATAGTGATCCCCAGCATGGTTGTGTCCTGGTACGTTTATTCTCCAAATGATAGACTTTTGGGTTTATCTAGTCTTTTTTATCACAGGCATACCTCATTTTATTGTGCTTTGCTTGATTGCTCTTCACAGGTGTTGCCTATTTTACAAATGGAAGGCAAAATCCTTCACCAGGAGAAAGATTACGACTTGCCTGATTGTGATACTCACTTTATTATGGTGGTCTGAAACCAAAACCACAGCATCTCTGAGGTATGCCCTTACTTGATTTATTGCAGTGGTCTGGAACTGAACCTGTAATATCTCCAAGGTATGTCTGTACAAACAATGCTTCAGTGAACATCTTCACATCTGACTTCTTTATATAACTTGTCTTCAGAAATGCTTGACTAGGATTTCAGATATTCACAGGAGGTCCCTGAATATTAGTTTTGTGGACTGTGGCTATATTCCAGGAATTAATTACCTAAGGTTAATCATAAAAGAATTCATGAATTATGAAGCTACACAGAGATATTCACAAAGGGTCATAGATTAGAGAAATGGAAAGGATAAAGGATGGTTGGAGAAATAATTTGAGTTAGTGAGAATAGTCCAGATAATTTTTGAGAAAGTGGTTAGATTTAAGTAGCATTTAGGAGTATTTTTACTAAAAGAAAATTAGAATATTAAGTTTAGGTAGGATTAAGTGGCAAACACAGATTTGAATGTTCTGGTTAATTAGGAGACTGAAGATATGAGGCAAAGGACTAAAGTAAAGATCTTAAAGTAGAACACAGGGAGAGTGCTTGGAGCTTACCTGGTCAGGGAGACTTCTGAGAGCTACTGCCACCATGCTTGGAAGACCTGATCCCTGAGATGACCTCTTTGTATTAAAACTTCTCGAGCAAGCATTGCCATTCTTGGTCTTGCACTGAGAGGGAGAAATTTGAGTCCTGCCAGTTGAATGTTCCAAGCAGAGTTTGAATCAGGGGAAGCTCATAAAAAACATGGATGGCATCTTGCAAGTCTTCCAGAATGAACTTATATGCTCATCTGCAGGAACTGCTTCATAGACCCCCATCACCATAGACTGGGCACAGCTTTTGCAGACCCTCTTTCTACCTCAGCTGGCCTAACAGGTCAGTCCTTGCTCACTGCTCTGATTGCCAGAAAGCAATCCAGCAGAGAGACTTTCACACAAATGTCTCTCTTAAGCAAATGGTTCTCACTGTCAGACAAGCCAGTCTGTGGCATTTCCTGCGCTCTAAGGGCAATAGGTGTAGGATACACATGGAGGCAAAGCAGATCTTCTGTGAGGACCAGAGGAGCCTGCTCTGTGTGCACTGCTCTACCTCCCAGGAGCATCAGGCTCACAGACAGTGTTCAGTAGAAGAGGCTGCTGAGCAACACAGGGAGAAACTCCTCAAGACCATGTGCTCTTTATGGGAGAAATGCTGTGAAAATGACAGAAACCTGAATGTGGAAACTATCACAATCTGTTCTTGGGAGATTTATGTGATCTTAAAGGGTGAAGCGATCAGAGCTAAATATGATAATGTGTCTGCATTTCTCAATTCGGATGAGCAATATTATATAGAGAGACTGCAAAGGAAAGGCAATGAGATTTTTGAACAACTCAAGGACAGTGAAGCCAGGATGGCACACAAGAGGGAGCTTTTAAGAGGAATGTATACGGAGCTGAAGGAAATGTGCCATAAGCCAGGTGTAGAGCTGCTCCTGGATTTTGGAGACATATTACACAGGAGTAAGGCAGTGTGTGTGCACATGCCCCAGCCTGTGAAAGCAGAGCTCACTGCAGTGACCGTCTTTGGGTTGATAGCAAGGTTCAACTTGTACAGTGAGATTATTCCTCTCTGTCTTGGAAGAACTCGCAGTCATGTCTTCCTGCAGGGAGATTTGATAAACCTGAGTGTTGGATGTTCTATTGAAGGTGTACCATATACCTTTCCACTGTCTGAGTGTTTTCTTTTCTGGAGTACTCAGACTTTTCACTGTGGAAAACATTACTGAAAGATAGAAGTGGGAAACACTTGGAATTGGGCTTTAGGGGTCTCTTGTGATGATTGCATAGTAATGAATATAAATCTCCAGAAGGCATTCTGTCTTCTTGGTTGTGCTAAAACCGACATGCACCACAATGTGTTCACCACCTCCCCACTTTTACTGCAATATGTGCCCAAACCTATTGGCCGACTAGCGGTATTCCTGGATTATGAAGATGGAAGTGTGACCTTTATAAATGTAGCAAAAAGTTCCCTTATATGTAGACTCTCCTCTTGCTCTTTCTCTCCCATTCTCAGGCCTATCTATTGCTGTAGTCACTTCTGACTAGAAATAGATTAGGAATCTTTCAATATGCTGGAGAACTCCAATATCTAAGGAAGCCCTTTTCCTGGTGCCCTATCAAATAAGACAATATGTTAATATGTTTTTTGTTTTTATTTTCCTTTTTTGTCCTGAATATATATTTACTGTATTATTAAATATGATACCCTTCAAAGCATAAACAAACAAACAAAAATAAACAATAAAAGATCTTAAAGATCAGTATTGGAAATTACAAGCAAAATGACAACTTAAAGTACAACTAGGAATGAACTATTAATGAATACAAATGTCTATGAATCATTTTTCTTGAACTTATTTCCTGTAGTGATTTTCTGAAAGAACATTGTGCTCCTTTCTAAGCTTATTTTCTTTGTTTTAATCATCATCTCTCCCTTACTTTCTGTCTCCATTGCCAAGATCCAGGAGGCAAATATAGGCATGAGAACATGTCATGGATCATAAATGGACAAGCTGTGTGACTCAGGAGGTCAAACAAAAGTTGGGGCACAGGAACCCTGCTTTGGCTATGCTCTTATACAAAGGTCAATGGCTATGTTTTTAATGTATCGGTTAATATGGCAATGTGCATTTTGTGATCGTTGCATTCTATATGTTCCTACAGCATGCTGCTTTTACACCCATTATACCACAGTTTTCATTCTGACTTGTGTTGTAGTTAAATTGTTTACTATTCTTTGGTTACAAAGTAGTGCCTTCTGGGACACCTCTGGTCCATAGATAGACTTCATTAGCTAACACATGCTCACATTAAAAATAGTTGCCAATATTTCAAAAAATTGGAGGCTTCATATAAAAAGATGGGTTCCTGACTTCTGAAAACACAGAATCTGGCACACAGGGCCCCCATTTTCTCAGAACAACCAACTGGAACTGAACAGTGGCTGCCCTCATCAAATTGACATTGAATCTGAAAGTTGGTTACCATTTTTCATGGAACTGGCATTGTTGTTCTTTTAATAGTGACATTAAAAAGACATGAAATATTTTTCTATATCTAGTTTCTATAAAAATTGGGAAAACAAAAGCTAGACTGAGAAGGGAGAGGACTAAGATTTAAAGGATAGAGGGTAGGTTGAAGATTGGGTTAGATTAGGAATGGAGATCTTGGACAAAACTGCTGAAATGGTAGAAATGGTAGAGGGAGAAAGTAGAGGAGGTAGTTGGGTCACTTCTCTCACCAGCCTTCTCTTTATTTTTTACTTTTTTTCCTTTCACCAGCCTTCTCATAGGGAAACCACTTCTAGGGAATATTGTACAGTTTCTCTGCCTTCAGCTTAACTTTTCACTGAGTACCTATACTACACTGGGGATATGGTGGTGAACAAAAGGGACATAGGCCCTCCTCTCCTGGAGCTCACAGTTGAGTTGGGGAGCCAGAAAAATACTATGAGGGGAAATAAGAGGGTGCTAAGAAAACAAACACTCAAGAAATATTTTTCCTCAGGGTCCATCCATGTTGTTGCAAATGGCAGAATGTTCTTCTTTCTCATGGCTAAATTATATTTCATTGTGTACATATCTCACATCTTCTTTATCCATGAGTATATTATGCTCAGATAAATTAAGAAAGAGAAAGACAAATACCATATGATCTTACTTATATGTGGAATCTAAAATACCAAACTCATAAAAACAGCATAAAATGGTGGTTACCAGGGATGGGAATAGGATGTGGAGGGTAGGACAGATGTTGTTAAAGGGTACAAACTTAAAATAAGTAGTGAAAAAGCTCTAGAGATTGAATGCACCATACAGTGAATGTAGACAACAATACATTATATTCAAACTTGCTAAGAGACTGGACCTTAATTATTCCAAGCTAAAAACAAATGATAATGTCGTGCGATAGGGGTGCTAATTATCACTCCAATGGCAATCATCCTATCTAATAAAAGAGAAACATGGTAATTGGTGTGTGACCACTACCCTTCCCATTATCTAATCAGGGAGATATGCAAATTAACTGCCAGCCAAGATGGCGGCCGGCAGCCAGGCAGCTTGAAACTAACATGAGGCTTGCTTGCTTCAGTGACAGAGGAA